CACCCCCTCCTTTAAATCTAGGAAACCTTGCTCTTTCTTCAAGACTTCTTCCAGAGCACAGTTCTAATTCCTTCCCTACAGTCTGGGACAAACTCTCATTCAGCTCCTGGGGAAGCCTATTGCAGTATTAGTTACTATTTAGCAACTTTGCCTAGTAATTTACCTTCACTAAAGTTTGCACATTTTCAGAGTTAATTGCCTTTATTTTCCCAGAGCCTAGCTCATTTTAGGGAGCCTCGGTGGCATTGTGGGTTATGCACTGGGATTTATAACAAGAAATCACAAATCACTGCTTCAAGAAACCAGAAACCAAATTTGCTGCCATCAAGTCTGTGCTGACTCAGGAACCCCATAGGACAGGGTAGAACTGCTTCCTGTGGGTTTCCAAGACTGAGAGTAGAAAGCCCATCTTTATCCTGCAGAGCAGTGATTTTGAACTGACTTGCCTACTTTGCAGTTAGCAGCCCAACCACTGTGCTACCAGGGCTCCTTAAGAAACCAAAAGAAACCTACATAAATGAGAAAACTTACCATGTTCATTGATAAGACTTAACATTATAAAAATCTCAGTACTACCCAGTAGATAGATATAAAGCAATTTCAATAGTTTTTAACAAGATAGAAAAACTGAACACCAACTTTATATGGAAAGAAAAGAGCACTCAGATAAGTAAACACAGGTTGGGAAACCTTATACTTCCTGATGTTAAAAACCTACTATGCAGCTACAGTAGACAAAATGGCCTGGAACTGGTATCGCAGCAGATTCATAGACCAATGGAACAAAACTGAGAAGTAAATCTGTTTAGCTACAGATAGCTGACCTTTCACAAAGGCTCAAAGTAGTAGATGAGAGAGACAGTCTCCTTAATATATGGTGCTGGCAAAACGATATCCATTTACAGGGGTGGGGGGGGAATCAAGATCTATCTTTTGTACCATACAGAGAAACTAAATCAAAATAGATCAAAGACCAAATCATTAAACCTAAAACTGTAAAATTCATGGAAGAAATTGTAGGTATAAACCTAGGGACCCTAATAGCAAACATAATATACTGACAAACATAGCAAAAATGTGCAAACAAAAGAATATAAACTAGATAAATGAGACTTCTTATACATTAAATATTTACTCATTGTAAAATTTCAACAAAAGAGTGAAAGAAGAGAATCTGCAGATTGGGAAGAATTTGGGCAACAACATAGCTGACAATGGCCTAATCTTTAAAATGTATAGAAAAGTTCAGTACCCCAACAACAGAAAGACAATCCCATTTTTAAAACATGCAAAGGACATGAATAGGTAATTGACCAAAGAAGACATTCAAGCAACTAACGAACACATGAAAAGATGCTCAAGATCATGAGCCATTACAGAGATGCAAATTAACACTATAAGTAGACACCATCTCACCCTGGCAATCGTGTCAGTGATTAAAAAAACAACAAAACAACAGATGCTGGCAAAACTGGGGAGATTTAGAGCTCTTATACACTGCTGCTGGGGTGCAAATTAGCCCAACCACTATGTAAAATATGGCACACATTGTGTCCTTGCAAAGCTTGAAATATAATTACCTTATGATCCAGCAGTCCCACTCCTAGGTATTTATCCTAGAGAAAACAGCTATGACACTAATAGACATGCACACCCATGTTCATCTTAGCATTATTCACAGTAGCAAAAAAGACAAAAATCTAAGTCTTATTAGTAAATTGATAAACTGTGGTACATGCATACAATGGAATACTGGTCAACAATAGAGAATAGCAATCCATGAGACATCTCACAACATGGATCAATCTGTAGGACATGCTGAGTAAAAGAAGTCAGTGACAAAGAACAGGGATTATAGGTGATCACTAATTATCAAAAGTCAACCGGTTTTTTTGAAACATTATTTGATGATTACTGGGGATAGGATGGGGAGGGAGGGTAAAATCACTAGATAGTAGATATGTTTTAACTTGGGTGAAAGGAAAGACAATTCACAATCATAAGGGACATCACCACAATGCAAGTTCTAAAAGGGAGATATATGTAGGAATAAGGAGCAACTCTAGTAAATGCTGGAACACATACAGTCCTGCAACAACAGTAATAACAATTTGTGAGTACCTGGATAGGTAAATGTATGTGCTAAATATGTAAGGAAAGACATCTGGGAGTATACTTGTATATAAATATAAGTATGGTTCTTTATACATGGGAATGATTATGTATCTTTGTACACACTAGTTTGTAAACGATTCATAAATTATATATATATATATATATATATACTCATAAATATAATAGAGGACATAGTTCTAGAAATTACTCTGACACGGACTGAAGTGCTAGACTTGAAAGCTAAAGATTATAATCTTAACAAGCATCTAAGCAAAATATAATTCATAAATATGATGTACTTACTGACAGGTGAATATCATCTAGGGCAGCGATTCTCAACCTGTGGGTTGTGACCCCTTTGGGGGTCAAACGACCCTTTTATAGCGGTCACCGATTCATAACAGCAAAATTACAGTTATGAAGTAGCAACGAAAATAATTTTACGGTTGTGAGGTCACCACAACATGAGGGAACTGTATTAAAGGGTTGCAGCATTAGGAAAGTTGAGAACGACTGATCTAGGGTCTTAAAAGCTTCTGATCAGCCATCTAAGAAGCTATTGTTGATCTCTTCTCACTTAGAACAGAAGAGAACGAAGAAAGTATAAGACATAAGCAATTTCTTCACGTGAACCACAGCCACCTCTAACCTGTGATCAGGGTGGTGGTCTGCAACTACTACCAGCTACTCTTGACAAGAACCACAATTGAAGATCCTGGTTAGAATGGGTAAAAATTATAGAGCAAACTTAAAAAATAAAATAAAAGGACCAGACTTAATTGGTCTGGTAGAAACTGGAGAAACCCCTAAAACTATTGCCTTAAGACAACCTTCTAATTTGAAAATGAAGACACTCTCAGAGACCACTTTTTAGCCAATTAATGGATGAACATATTAATAACCTAATAAAATAATACCTCAGAAAAATTGACTCCTTAAGACAATCACTTATACAAGATCAAAAGGGTAATATTTGCCGCAAACCAAAGATGAGAAGGTAAAAGGGGAAAGCAGACGGATAGAAACAAGGAGCCCAGGAAGGAAGAGGAAAATCCTGATATATTGTGGGGATTGCATCCAACATCAGGAAACAATTTGCATGTGAATTGCTTATTGGAAAACTAATTTGCTGTGTACACTTGTACCTCCAGGACAATAATATTTTACACCCTTCCCCGTGCCTCCTGCCCTCCCCTCCCCGAGAAAAAGCCCAGTTTGAATGTTTTCCCTCCTTCCTCTTTGCTTGAAGGCCTAATGGCATAGTGGTTATGCATTCGGCTGCTAACTGCAAAGTCAGCAGTTCTAATCACCAGCATTCCTAGGGAGAAAGATATGAAGCTTTCTATTCGCATAAAGAATTACAGTCTCTGGCTAGACCAGAGGAGGTACACTGGTACAGATAGGAACTGAAAATACAGGGAATCCAGGACGGATGAGCCCTATAGGACCAGTGGT